CACGTGAACACGATTCCCCTAATACGCAAAATAAATGGGTTAGGGTTGAGGTTAAATGAGTTCGTATCATAAACGAGTCATTCATTTATGACACGAACATAAATGTGTTATGTTGTGGATTAATGCGCGAGTTAGGTGAGTGACCCGTTTATTTAAGAGTAAAAAGGTAATTTTAGTATTATATAAATATTCCAACTAAAACCTATTTAAATTTTATTGTTGTATTACTATTTATTGTTGGTATTATTTTTTGAGTGACCCGTTTATTTAAGAGTAAAAAGGTAATTTTAGTATTATATAAATATTCCAACTAAAACCTATTTAAATTTTATTGTTGTATTACTTTTTTATTTTAATTATAAATCTTGAAGAATTTATGCATTTTACGCGTGAAAATTTATTTTTAAATATGATTAGAGTTAAATAGATTAAAAGTTAAAAATAGTATAAGCAGATTAAGTGGATTGTACATTGGTCAACACATCCACTTAACCTATTTATGATATTAAAAGGGTTACACGAGTTGTATATGGGTCAACACGACCCACTTAACCTGTTTATGATATTAATCGGATGAAATATGTCGTGTTCGTGTTAACCGTCTAATTTTCGTGTTGTGTTTGTGTCGAAGTTATAAAAAATTATTTCATACTTAAATATTGCTCCGCGTATCACGCGGGTTCTAACACTAATATCATTAATAGTAGTGCAATCTAAATGCGTAATAAGTGTTGTAAAATAGAAGAATAAAAGAAAAATGAAATAAGTGAGTATGAAAAATGGCAATTTTTATTGGCACTGTTTATAGCCAAATACATAAATTTAGGTTGCCTTAAAGCAACAGTTTTTTAAGTATTCGGTAATATAGTATTTGAATTAGTTTTTAGAGGTTAAGGTAATATAATATTTTATAAAAGAGTATTCTCTGAAACATTTAACTTACAGCTTTTAATAAGGGCAAGTGTCCCGTTTGCCCTGTAAATATAATTATTAAGGGCAATATATGAAAGTAATCGTAAAAACCCAGTGGAGGCAAGTGTCCCGTTTGCCCTGTAAACAGCTACTAGCTACTCAAACAAAACTTTTACTAATGGCACATCTAATAAATAATTTACATATAAAAATTAAAATTCCTCAAAATTGTCGTTATTAATATAAAAAACGGTGCAATCTTATTAAAATTTCTCGTAAAATTTGAAGCACCATGGAATATTTCACGGAAACTACAAGTGTAAATTAATTGATTTAGCTTACTTTTTATCTATGAACCGTCTCACACACGTGTATATATATAGATATAAATACTGTTATAGATGAATATTAATGGAGATAGTAATTTATTTATACTAGATTTTCTATACTTATTATTAGAGCATTTATAGTTATTTTAATAAGAATTTTCTATTTTGAAATGATATCATTTATTTCATAACTAGATGCTCATTCTTTATCTTTTTGTCAAGTGGTCCACGAAGAGGGGACAAGCCAAAGTGTCCATTGCGTAAGCTGTGCATTGCAGAAAAACATAATAGAAAGTAGCTTTTATATGCTTAAAGAAATTTTTGGTATTGGAAGAGAAGAAACCCCTTTCCTTACGCTTCTGCCCTTCGATAGAGACTTGATTGAACCACTTGGGCAATAATACTAATAAGTCTCCATAAGTACATAAAAATACAAAATTTCAGAAGAAAAAAAATATTCAAACCAAATGAAATTTAAGAGAATATTGTAGATATGAATGTTATAATTGCTATTTCATAAAATAAAAATAAATCATTTTACATATTATTATAAAAATTCATTTAAAAATTAAAAATCTACCTTAAATATAACAATTTATATTCGGTGTGTTCCGTTACATTTTACAATTTTTTTGACTTTTTTATTCCCTTTAAACGACAGTTTTTAAAAAATGAATGTAGCATAAGTTATTTTGTTTCAATTTTATCCTTATTAAAATATATACATTAAACTTTATCTCAATTAAATGAACATTAGTAAAAGGTAGTTTAGTCAAATATCTTATGAGCTCCTCTCCTTCTCCCGAAACTTAGAACTTAAAAAATAAAATCTAAAAGCTCTTTTTTATTTTTCCATGGGTGGCCTCACCGGTGGTTACTCCTTTTCCTTTTTTATTTGTTTATTTAATTTTTTTTTTCAAATAATCCTCAATTCTTTATATTAATATGAGTTGTTGTTGTCAAATATTAGAATTTATTATTGCCCATATATTGGGAGTTCTTAGATCTAGTTCTGAGTTATTATTGTCACCATTATGATGATTTTATTTAGGGTATTTTGTTATTTGGATAATTATGCATAAAAAGTGCATATCTCCTCTCTAATAGAAGGAAGAAATTTGAAAGTGATCAGATCAAACACATAAAAAGACCAAGGAGTCAAACAATAGCACTGAATAGCCATCAAGTCGAGTAAGCAAGGCACAAATATTCAACTCGATTAGATATTTCCAATCAATGTTGTGTTTTTTTTTTTTTATTTTTTGTATAAATAATTTATTATGGGGCTACCTATACAAAAATATGAAAACATATCGATATGTGTTCTACATCTGCATACAAGTTTTTATTCATAAAATTTATAGTTTTTTTCTTCTAAAAAAAAAAGTCAAATGTCTTTATCTTCTAAATTTGAGGTGATTCAATCAATTTTTAAATTTTTGTACAAAGTCTAAATCGAGGTGATTGTTTCATCCTGAATTTTGTTTTCTATTGCTATTTTGTTTTGTATTGCAATAGCACCTTAAATAATTGTTAAAGGTTTAGTTGTAAATGTAACAGTAATGTTTTGGGTTTACTATTTGACCTTAGATTTGGATTTAATGTTATACAAATAAGTGAGTAAATGAATTTAATTACATAGCAAAAAAAAAAAAAAAAAAAAAATTTTACCTTTTTTTTTTTTTTTTTCCAATTTAGTCATCAATTTGTATCTATATTAGCAATTCACCCTTTTTTTTTTCTTGGCAGAGGACGTGAACTTCACGCGGTCAACATATTAGAGAAAATAATGAATTTAACTTTTAAAATACCAATCTAACGTTTGAAAGTGAAAGAAAATTTGACTGCTAAACCCGTCAAAGAATGCTTTTTCAACTGTGGCCATTCTTTGGCATGTATCTGATGAACCCATAAGAATTAAATGGATTAATAGTTTCAGTTCGTTTCACTCTCCATAAGTGTCAAAATCTAATCTAATCTAATCATATCTGAATTCTCTCTGTATCTAATAAAGCCTATAAGAAAATGCACTTTCGTTATTCTTATAATCGAAGAAGAGCTTATTTGATTTAGCCAATTTTTTCCTTGAGCCTAAATACATAGTAAATTGATCCGAGATTCAAAAAACAAATCACCCTTAAAATCAAGTTGTAGAGATCACAAATCAATTCTGCAATGGTGCTTGCAAGAAATATCAAAACCTATTTTCTACAATTTATCCCAGTTTTTCACTTTGTTTAATCTTTTCATTAACTTCTCTTCTCTCCCAAAAAATGTTTCAAGAAACTATACTAAATTCTCTACACCATCAACAACAACAATTACAAGAAATCTCTCACTTCTTTCTTTGACTTCTTCTTTTTTTTTTTTTCACCTCTCTTTGGTGTATTTCTATTTTCAGCATATACCTTATTTTTATTACAACTCTATTTCATGTTCTTCACTTTTTCCTTCATCAGCATCTCTTTTGCTTCGAAGTCAAATTCATAACTTTATACCAGTTTCACAATTGACCTGCTACTGCTTTTCTTGTTATCGAAGTCGAAGTTTTTGGTGGTTGAAGAAAATGAGGTAGTAATTAGTGCAGATGGGTTGGTTTGGTTTTTGTTGAAGCGGAAGAAGAGTTAAAATACACAAGGAAAGAGATAAAAGGGAATTTTAAAAATCAAAAAAACAACAGGAAAAATGGAGCTGAAAGATTCATCTCACGCACTCTCATATGTTTTGAAGTACACACGCTTTGACTTTGAGTAAATTGTTAATATTGGTACAAGTTTATGACTAAATTGGAAAAAAAAAAAAGGCGAAATATGAGTTTTTGATATAAGTTAAGAGTGCAAATTAAACCTTCTTCCATTTGATAATATTTGCAAATTATTTCTTTATTTAATAGCAATTAATAAATAAAAATATATTATTTCATACACGGATATTTATTGCCAAACAATAATTAGAGAACCTCCTAAACAACAAATTCAGTGTTGTTGTTGTTTCATATGTAACGTAAATTTTGTTATAATTACATTTTTGTTTTTGCCAAAAATAAAACATAAGTTATAAACTTTACAATGAGAAAAATAAAATTGAAAAAAACAACTAAATTCAATAAATGTGTGCAGAGGAAGGAAGTTAACATTAAGTTAATTCAAGGTTAACGGTGCATCCCATTAATGTACGTTCAATTTGTAATTAAGAATGTTATTGCGACATAATATTAGAATTTAGAATAAAATTAATACAGAGTAAAATTGCAACGAAATACAAATTTTAAAGTGAAAAAAAATGCATTAAGCCTTTAAAAAAAAATGTGATACGGAACGAATTAATCAGTATCTGAAGGTAGAGCTTGTCTTTCACCCATAAACGGCAAATAGTAACATTTTGCGGGCTCCACAAATTGGCAAACAAACACCCAAAAGAAATCAAGCATTTAGCACCGACCTCCAATCAAGTGGTCCACATTGCACAACTTGAGAGAGAGAGAGAGAGAGAGAGAGAGAGCACCACTCGGCTAAGAAAACACACCCACCTTTTTTGACCCACAAAACCAGAGAGGGCGGCTTACCTACTTATGATTCCGAGAATCAAGACACACAATAGGTTTCCCCAACCAACCAATCACAAGGCGACACGCACAAAGCTGACCACACAACCTGCAAGGATCCGCCACGCGTGGGTACCCGACTGAAAATTCTAACACCGGCCGGCACCAGTCAATCTAAACTCAATTTAACATTCAAAAAATGGATTACACAAAAAGATAAAAACAAAATATTCTCTTATTTAATTATGGACATTATCATCTTTTCCTTCCCCTCTTACATTTGCTAACAGAAGAAAAAACCCACCAAAAGACACAAAAACACTATTTACATTTATAATTTTAACCCAAAACTTATGTATAAGCACTCTAAAAATAGCAAACTAACTTTCCCATTACACTAACGAAGGCTTTCTTATTAGCGCATCTTATTTCCCAACTTCCCACTTCTATATTTTTGGCTTCTTGTATGTACACAGGACTGACTAAACCTCCCACACCAGCCTTTTTTAAATCAAAAAGGCCTCCAGTATTGGGTTAGTAAAGGACTTAAATAAGGGGCACTGGAATTATAGCTGCTACTACCGTGTATATATCAACTGGTTGGTTGTGTGCTAATATTCTATTATTAGTCCTCCCAATGGAGCCCGGTGAGGGATTCCCTTTCTTCGCTTGGCTGTCCGGTAACTGACCGAAGTTGGTGGGGGTGTTGATGGAGAGAAACTCTGTGCTTTGTCATTGTTGTTGTTGTTGTTCTTATACTGGCCATGGCTGCTGCTGCTGCTGTAAGAATCCTCCGAATCGGACATCATTGCCTTCTGTTGCTTCTTCTTCTTCTGGAAATGCTTTGATGTTCCAACAATCTGCCAGCGAGTAACAAATCATCATTAAGAGCCAAATTTAGTCGCACAAGAAATTTGCAACCCAATTAGAAAAGCACAATCAAATGTCAAACCAAATCTATTTGACTCATTTAAGCTTGTAATTAGTACGGTTGGTAAGAAAATATAGGGAAAATGGAGAAAAATTTTCAATAGTTATTACTTCCTCATAAAAGTCAAACTCGCTTTAACCACACAAATGAATATCACACAGTTGAACTTTCCATGCACTTGCAGAACAAGAAAGAGAAAAAAAAAAAAAAAAAAAAAAAAAAAAAAAAAAAAAAAAAAAAAAAAAAACAAGTCAGAAAAAAAACCATTTCGAAAAACAAGTCTGAAAATACCCATTTCGAAAACAAGTCTGAAAAATACCCATTTCGACCATTTTCTCAGAAGACATAACAAAAAACCGGAAAAAGAAATTGAAGGAGAAAGTGATAAATGCCATGATAATGGTTATACCTTGCAGCCAATAGAGCAAAAACGGAAGGAATCAAGAAGGCTGCGGTCGCAGACCTCACAAGTGTTGGTGACGCCTTTGCCAGGCCTAGGCTGCGGCCTTTCATTCAAGAAAACAACCCTTGCACTGTTAATTACATACGTTTGGACACCAGAAATGTCCAATACCTTCTGTATCTCAGATACCCTTATCACATCATGATATGATGACCTCCTTATCTGTCATTCATGAAGAAACAGAGTAAGAACAGAGAGTTAGACATACCAAATTCATGATTTTCAACTACCAAGACAAGTAAAAAAAATGGAAAAAAACTATTTCAATTCTAGCTATTAATGAACTTATTTCTTTCAAAATGAAACAAAAGGGAAAAATGGCAGAAACTCATTTCAATCATAGATAAGAATTTTCATTTTTTTTAAAGAAAAGGTATTTATTTGAATTAGTGCTCAATTGCTGTTTGGAAACTGAGAAAGATAAGGATAAAGGGAACTAATTCTAGAAAATTAGTTATAACTCATTTCCAGGGAATCAAGAAGGAGCTAAATCAAGAAAGGAGAAATTCAATGTCAAAAAAAAAAAAAAAAAAGAAAGGAGAAATTCAAGATGCCAAAAAGGAATTGAAAAGAGAGTATTCCTTAACAGGAGTAAAAAAAAAAAAAACCATATAAAGAAAAATCCGATTAATTGAATTCAATGACAATTACTATACCTGAATTGCTCTATGGTCCTTATGGTAGGCTAGACAAACAGAGCAGAGAGCACCATTCATGCAATCCAAGCAATACATATTACATTCACTCTTATGAGAATCAGCATGCGAGTTGCATTGAACGAAGAACCTCTCCTTTAGCAGAGGTTTTAGCCATGGCGGCCATCTATTATCTTCGTCATCAGGCCCTCCAGCTCCCTACACAGATTCATCACTTTATAAAATAAGACAACTTTCAAAAAAAAAAAAATTTCGGAAATAGAGAAAAAGCGACGAAAAACAAAGTTGTTTTATTAATAAACAGAAAACCACCAGGTGCATTGAACAAAACAAAAGCCATTCAGCCATTGTTTGAAATCAATAAAAAGAGAGCAATTTTAAGCAAAACCCGTTTAAAATCTTGAAGAAGAGACTAAAAGGGCTGCAAAGAATACCAAGATTCTCCTGTTTCTAGGCTTGATAGTGGGTTCTTGATTTTCAATGGCCATCTTCAACAACTAAGAAGAGAAAACGTAGCACTCTGTTTTTTGTCGAGTTAGAACGGTAAGAGTGTCTTTTGGTTCTAGTGAAAGAAGAGAGAGAGAGTGTGTAAATACAAATCGAGAGAGGGAGAGGAATCGTTGGTTTAGAGAAGTCGAGGCGGCTGCTAGAGAAAATGGGGTTCTTGTATAGAGGCAGGCAAGGCAATAGGGTGAGCGAGAATTGAGGTCGTTCTTATCTTCAAGAAGTCTACAAAATTTCCGAACCTGAATCCGAACCCAAACCTAAATGAACGAAAGATGCGTTGAATGCAAGGAACCGACCTCCTTTCCTTTTAATTTCCCTTTCATTTTCATTACATTACATGTCATGTACATCTCCTTCTCTCTCGTCTTTGGCCTTCTTGTAATTTTCAGTGATATTTACTTATTTGGCTTAACGCAGAAATTCAACATGATAATTTAATAAAAGTTTTATGTGACCTTTAATATTTATTTTAACCTATTAAATATTTTATAAAATTATATTCATTAAAATGTTTTAATTTGTAAAATTATATTCTTCAATATTTGAACTTGTACAATTAGATTAATTAAATACTTTTCCACTGGTTGAAATTTTTAAAAATTATTGTTCTAAATATTATACTAATTATGCATTAAGTGAATATTTTGCATAAAAATACTAAAATATTAAAAAATTATTATTATTAGCACAAAAATACTATAATATTATCAAAATTAATAAATTAGAAGCATAATATATTTTTCGTAAAGTTTGGAGTGCCGAAAAAATTATTTTTTAAAAACACGATGAATATACATATTTAGCCTCATTCATTTATATTTGTTTATTGCCACTCATTATTGAGGATTAACATTTTTATATGTGGAATATTTTAATTTAAATAGCATATTATGGGATGCCCACTGTATACTTTCTATAATAAAAGAATAGAATATATAGATATGGTAGCTTCTTTATTGTGGAATGTGGATAGACATCTCATTTCATGTTTTTTTTTTTTAATTTGCAAATTTTGAGGTGTGTGCTCACTCTTTGTCTTAATCTTATCTAGTCATCGGGCCAATGTTGATTGTTTTTCTCTAATTAAAATATCTATAGGTCCTTTTAAGATTTAATTAGAGTGTGTCAATTTTTAGATTTTAATTAATGAAGGGTCAAAGATTAAAATATTGGCGTGCGATCAATTTGTAATCAATTTTTTATATTTTAATTAATAAATAAAATTTTAGGAAAGAAAAATTAAATTTTGAGATATTCGTGGGCCACGACTACCTAACCTTTATGTAGTTCCACCTCTAAATATAATTTCTTTCTGATCCATAATTGGTTTTTGCAATAGCTTTTTAAATAGTTGGTCAAAACATTAAACGCTATTTTTATAGTATTCGGTAATATAGCAATTGAATTAGCTTTTAGACGTTATGATAGTATTTTTATAAAAATTAACTCATGTAATGTTTAACTTTGAATGTTTTATGAAAAACTACTCAAACAACTAAGAATTAAATGCTACTAAAATATCTAATAGCTACTAAAACAGCTGATTTTGCCAAACAGATCCTATAAATATAGTTCTAATTTGCTTTTAAATAGACTAAAAAAAAAAAAGCTAACTTGGTTAAATAATATTCTTATTTTTAATATACTTTTAATTAATGATTGACTGACAAATTCACAAGTATACGTAATTACAACAAGTAATAAAGAATAAGTAGCGCATAATTCCACCAAAATTGTATATCAAGTACCAAAATTGTGTTATCCTACCATTATTTAAAAGAAATAAAAGAGAATAAAAGAAATTAAGCAAGATAATTTGATGAAAAGAAATCAAGGATTAAAGACTATTAGGGATTTTGACTTAACTTAATTCTATCGAATTTATTCTATTAGTTTGATAATCAATTTTAATTGTTTAAGGAGGAGAAACAATCCTAAAATCGTTAACAAGCTTTCTTGATGTATTATTAGCTATTTTAATCCAGTCTAATTACCTATCTTTTAGTGCAATCAAACATGAATTAAATCATTAAGTTTTATGGTTGTTTATCAATTCATAACTTAAAGTTGTTAATATATGAAAACCTCTCATAAGTCAAACCATATAGCTTCTACATCAAGATATTACCTTTTCTTATCAAAAACCCTTCTCCCAGTAGTGATTAATGAAATAAATCAATCCAGGGGAGAAACTCTATCTAGAAGCATTAAGTTCAATAATAAATTGTACCATGAACAAGAAAAAATAAATCTAATAATATAAATTGAAATCGAAATTAAGCTTCATCAAATCCCTAATATGTGAATTTAGTTTGACCTAGTAATTAAATTAAACTTGTAAATAATTTCAAAGTCAACATAAATATTGAAAATAAAACGAGATTAAGCGTTTAGAAATAAAAACTAATAATGGATAGCGTGAACGATTTCCTTGAATCTTACACAAACTTGAATGCTTGAAGCCTTAAAAGAGAGAAAACCATGAAGAGAGTAGAACAAAAGATCCCAAGATCGAAGATAAAAATAATGTTGTAGAGATCTCTCTTTATATAGGCTTTGTTGGTGTCTTTGAGTCTGAATAGGAAAATTAACTGACTTAATTAGGAAGAAATATGATTTGAATAGGAAACTGATTTAGTTTAGTATTTCTTCCCAATTATGAGTATTTTTTTTGACTAAATAGGGCTGAAACTCTAACAAGGCAAGTCTTCTACAGTTCCCATGCAATTTCATGCAGAAGACATGCCCAGACTTTGCTCTTCACACGGGTTAATAAATTATTTTCAGCCCACTTGAAAACTCAGCTTTCTTGAGAACACGACCATATTGTGTGACACGACTAGGCCGTGTTCCTTGCTGACTTAGCCATTTTTGCTCATTTTTCTTCTATTTTTTAGCTCCAATCTTCTTTGATGCAAATCTTGGCTAATTTTTTGCTAAAAATCTATAAAAACTCTTCGAGTCAAGCTTAATAAAAATCAATGAAGCTTTGTTAAAAACATAAAGAAATCTAAATAAAAATTAAGTAAAGTAATAAAAAAACATAAAAATCCTAATAAAAATTATATTAAAAATACTATAAAAATAAAACCTGTCAATCATCCATGTTATTATATTATAATTAAACGACTCATAATAAATTATTCTTGAAGCTAATCAAAATTAAATTTTTTAATTCAAAAATCAAGATAATTAAAACTATATGTGGAGTTGACTAATATTGACGGTAACAATAATGATTTTGTTATTGGCACAATGTATAAATCTGACTTTGTACTTTTAGCGAATCCTTGTGGGCTCCTAAACTTGGTGGGAGACCCGTCATATGATTTCAGTAACAATTATAACCCTACAAAAATGAAATAACTTTGTGAAGATTGAATCATGACCCTACACTTTCACATTTTATTTTGGTAAGAAGCATAATTATTAATGAAATATGAAAGTGTAAGGTCGTGATTGAACCCTAAAAGTTCAAGAGCCATAATGAGAATCGGCCAAAATTCAAGTCAAGTTTACTAAGCCTTTTGTATTTAGAGATGCACATTGAATAAGTGTAGAATGAAAATTTTAAAAATCTTCTCTTCTTGAAAGAAAAATACGACCATAATTCAAGATAAATGAAGCTTATATTTATAGAACAAATGAGCAACTGTGTTTCATATAAGGTTTAACATTGATAGTAAACCCACAATTAAAAATAAAAATTTTTGTAAATATTATAAAACATTTTGAAAAACAAAATGGAAGAATTAATTTACAAATGAAAAAAAAAAAAGAGAAAAATCTTTATAAGAAAACAAAAGAAGACAGGTACATGATGCTTAGTGCATGTTGGATTTTATCAATAATAAAGCGCATAAAAATAAAAATAATTATAGCAAATTATTATACAAACATGGATCCGTTTAAATGATTAAAGTAATAAAATTTCTTTAAGAGAATACCTCTTAATTTGATCCTTCGAAACTTCATTCTGCGCGCTTAAATTGTCACAAACCGCAAGTCGTCCAATTGCACAACCTCAAAAAAGTCTAAAACAGTTTTACATAGTTGAGAGAACAAAAAGTATGACGGTGCTAATTATCTTACGCTTTGTGTTTCTATATTGGTGTCTATCGACCTTTAAACTGTTTCCTAAACCTATTTTTATAAAATCCATAGGTAATAAATATATTCTTTTATTTAAACAATTTAAATAAATAAATCATAATACTTCTAGTATTAGAATTTTTAATATAATTAATAATATTTATTTATTTAACTATTTAATTTAAATAATAATCATAATATTCTAGTATATTTAGAATTATAAATTAATAAATATTTATTAAACAATTTAAATAAATAAATCATAATACTTCTAGTATTAGAATTTTTAATATAATTAATAATATTTATTTATTTAACTATTTAAATAAATAAATTATAATTAAAACATTAGGTTTATGTAATCTAAAATTTAATTCAATAAACAAATTTGTAGACTTAAATTATTCAAGTCAATATTTAATGATTCAGAAAAAATTGTAATTAAATATAAATCACAATCTTGCCTTTAATGTCTCAGAGTTCATTTGTTATCAAGTCATACTTAATTTGCTTTCTCGGTTTTACCTTTTCATATATATATTTTTATGTGTGTGACTCGTTAGGTTCCAAATATGTTGGCAAAAAATATAATTAACTAATTAATTAACATTTGAAGGTCAAGAACATCGTATAGCAATATATCATGACTACCCAAATATTTGGAATGTCAATAGTGGTTTGACTTAACCTTTCAGTACATGGTTTATCAGTGTAATTAATATCCTTTCATCAATAATGTTTTGATTTAGTAATTAGGTATGAAGTGTGTCTGTTTTACTAAATCATGTTAATTCTCTTAATTTTAGCTATTGATTATTTGAATGAAATTTCAAATCTAATTTACTAATTTCATTCTACCTTGCACAATATTTTCTTAATCAATACTAATATAAGACAATTAGAACATTTTCCCTAATTTACCTAAGGTGATGAATCCTATTTTAATTACACAAATATCTCCACAGAGTTCCTGTTATATCCAATTCTTCATTGCTTATTATCTGTAAATGAATAATGTGAATAAAGTATCAAAACATAATTATCCCAATACAAGGTAACTTAGTAATTTGAAGTCAATGATCATTTATATGACCATCC